AGGGAGGGAAGGAAAAAGCCTTGAAAGGATGGTGTGGACTCACCTGGCCAGGGTGTGGACGAGTTCGTCACAGCTGTGAGAAAGAGATGAAGAGTCAGATATACTGCCTCGCTTTGTACCGATTGAAAGCAATGCCTGAGCATACTCAACATATTTACAACCTCAGCTGATGCCGTTCATCTGCCAACATGTGGACCCTTCAGGGGCCCTCAGGAATCTGGTGTTGTTTCAGGCAGTAAGACATGCATCTGTCCCATGCCAGCCCTGATATTGTTTGCTTGGGGGATTTTGACCAGAATATAGAAGCCACTGCCCCTAGAGAATAGGCCAGAATTGCCATGACATCATCCTCCACAGGATCGGACAACAATCAACCCAACAGTCAGTAAGAAGACCCATTACCCAGCCTTCCAGGTGCCATGACTCTGAGATTGCACATTGATTCCTAGAGTTTCTGAATGGGATTTTGCCCCTGCCCCACTGCCATTGCTGTCTAATTAGCAAACGTTTGGTACCTACCTCCCATTCCGTATACTCTTATCTCCCTTCACTACTGTGGCTCACAGCACTTCAAGTATATTTTATATATTCTTGAATCCTCCTCTCTGAGATACCTAATGGCCTCACTCAAATCAATACACCCATTGAGCGGGAGGTGTGGTGAATTTACCTTCCATATCCTCTGCCTGTGAGAAGGTCTTACCATGTTAAATGGGGTTTGTAATGAGTGGATGGTCCTGTATCTAAAGAAAGGGCTTATTGTTTCTGCCCTCAGTGTGCTTGGTCTTGTGAGAGCAATTTCCCAGCCTTACCTCCAAGTAATCATTGGGCTAGAGTTGGTTGCATGGGGGATGGAGCAGGAGATGTTGTTTCTCCCACTAGGTGGCCAGACAGGCCCCTGAGCCACCAGCTGACCTCAGAAAGTAAGAGCCAAAGAATACATGGTTTGGGCTCCAGGCGGGTCCCTGGGAGAGAAAGCGTGTCTTCTATGAGTAGTACAAACCCCAGAACGTGCTTGAGTGATCTTGAGGCCCACCTGAGCAGATGACGCCAGCGTCCTCATGGTGTCCACAGTTATGAGAGAGCCAACC